TTTATAGCCCGACAATCAAACGATCAATTGAAATATCAACTAACTATAAAATATAAAAGCGGAGATCGAACTTTAAAACGTTTTCTCACCTGTCATCAAAATTCCTCGCATTAAAGTGCAACGACTGACCCTCAGGTCCCGGCCCAATGATTGTCAACCCGAATTCGTAATGGGTTCTCTGGAAGCCACGTATTACCAAAGAGACTTTGGAAAATTTCAATTTCATAAACAAACCTTGAACTCATTCACTCTCGCACCCAGTAGGGGTAACCAGTGTTTGAGCGTGTAAGAAGTGTGTGAGGATGAGCGTCGTCTGTTAATAGCTTTTGCAACCTTAAATTGCGCAATATAAGCTGAGTCATGTAATTGAAACATTACCCCAACTCACCACAAGCATATCATTGAACAGGAACACATCTCTTTCATGGGAACCAATAGATTGTTTTCGGCATGGATCCAACACCTGTTGAAGGCGGCAGTAACAAACAAGACGTCGTTGCGTTTCTGTGAGCCGCTAAATAATAACAGGTAAATATACAAAAAAAGCACTCACTATAAGCGTTATTGTCATGAAACAATTCTTTTCTTTTAACATTTGTCCTGTGTATGAATAAATTAGTAACGAAAATTAAAGAAAAAATATCTAGCTAGCCACGATATTGAAAGAGTAAAATCCATCTTACCTCCAGAAAAAAATCATAGTCAAGAGCAGTTTTACTAAAAATATCAAGTAATCAGGGACACAAAACAGTCGTTCATTAAGTACAGAACAGAAAGCAAGATTTCAACCTTCTCGAAAAGAGGAAAATGTTGCACAATTTCAAATGTAATATTAACAGTTTAAGACAACTAATTTCTAATTTTATGACCCTCAGTATTTTCGAATTATAGAAGTATATAATATGCGAGTTTAATGCTTTTTGATGCACAAACACCTTGACTGTGATGACGTTACTATCTTGCATGTTTATTTCAAATTTAGACTGATGCTCGAAATGTCACAACAAAAAAAAGATTCGTAAGGCAAAGTTTTGAACTGCAACATTATAAAAAATACATATTGTAAAAAACTCCTGCTGCGACATATAATGGAAAGAAAGGGAAAACCCGAAATATAATTTATCGATCTCTTTTCTAATTAATCGTTAATTACGCGGCTTGCTACTGCAATGTGAGAATATTGAAGCATTTTGAGAAGTC